AATAAAGTACAGAATTAAGGCAAACTTCTCATTACTATGAAAGCATGTAGTTCAAATCCGTGTCGTGTTGTATAAAAATAATAATGAGGATGATGATGATAATGATGATGATAAAATGTGTGCTGGAGTGTTCCTCTAATGCTAAAGCGACCGACAGGAGTGAATAAAATCTGCGCATGCTCTGAATCCGTATGCAAATTAGTCAAATCATATGTAAATTTGACTTTCAAACATGCCTGATAAATTGGACTTCATAAAATGCTAAAACTTAGTGATTATGCTTGAAACTTAAGGCTAACTCTTTCATATTTTGTTTGTTAATACAGTATCGTGGTCTGGCAAATGTATATCCGTGAAATGTTTTGTATGCTTTGAGAAAACAAATATTTATTTTCTCACTCAAACTCTTCAAATTCTTAGAAAACGTGCTGAAATGCAGGCATGCGCAAACGTTTTTCTCTAGTGTCGAAGCGATCAGGTTTTGTATAGATAAATTATAAAGAGGTTGTAGGATCCACTCGGATATCTTCGCGGAAAAAGGCCTTCGGATATGGGCTAAATATTCTGGGCCCCTTTGATACAACCATAGTCTTTTACCTCCTGAACTCTTCAATCGAGCTTCAATTTTACTTGTACTCTGCTCCTGAGCAACAGCTGCCGAATAGACCGTTGCTGTGCCTCCTAATGCTTTTGCAGTTCTGGCTTGCAGCTGGAAAAACCCGTTCTGAACATCAGCCATAATATATTCACCGAGACCGTTGAAAGTGTAGTTCTTGTTGTCCATTGTGAAAATGTGAGAATAACCCCAGAACCATGCTGAAAGAAAAATGACAAGAAATTTTGAGTTATGAATTTCGTTACAATGACAGCCCACAATAACAAGCAAACATTTTCTGGGAGTCGTGCTGCTATCATCCAGAGAGTTTTTTATTACTTGGTGTCAATCATCTTAATGAATCTCATGGGTAAACACTGCCCGTCATTTGCATGGTATCAATCATCTTAATGAATCTCATGGGTAAACACTGCCCGTCANTCAATCATCTTAATGAATCTCATGGGTAAACACTGCCCGTCATTTGCATGGTATCAATCATCTTAATGAATCTCATGGGTAAACACTGCCCGTCATGTGCATGGTATCAATCTTCTTAATGAAACTCATGGGTAAACACTGCCTGTCATGTGCATGGTATCAATCATCTTAATGAATCTCTTGGGTAAACACTGCCTGTCATGTGCAAGGTATCAATCATCTTAATGAATTTCATGGGTAAACACTGCTCGTCATGTGTATGGTACTAAACATCTTAAGGAATATCATGGGAAACGCTGCCCGTCATGCGCTATCAACAAGAGAGGTTTGTATGAATGTTATAATAGACTTAATGGCAGACAACATTATTAAAAAAACACTCATTCGCAAGCTWAAAGCTCTGATCCAAAAGGAAAAGGAACCTAAGAAATCTATACAAGAATTCAACCTACTCCTTCTTGGTGGACGATAGGATCTGCAATCGTCAGAAGATCTTTTTTCGTAGAAAAGACGACAGAGTTCGGATTCCAAGCAACAGGTTCTGTAAGCCTCTTCATCGCTCAGAAAACCCTGAATAGGAGGGAAAAATTGCTGCCGTGCATAACCACCTCTCTCTGGGCCTTTTAATAGGGAACCGAAGTCCAAAACGTCAGTGCCATAGCAACAACGCTGTGYCGACCATCTTCTGTCAACAGGTCTTCTCAAGTTGGTGTTCTCATCAATAATATTGTACTGTATTCTTTGGGAACTCCATCTCGATATGTAGCACACCCCACGAGATGATGCGGAGAATTGACGATTCACGAGTGTACTGTCGAGCCGGAATCTTCTGTCAAAGAGCGCTTGGCCCCTCCAACATGGACATGGTGGCAGAAATGAAACGGGTAATGTGGGTTGCTGTAGATACCAGGTGTAGCACTTTCTCTCTGCTTTCCGCACCATGGTAGACTCGTCTACTTGGAAGAACCATCGGCCGGTTTCTTGGGTGTTTCCTGGCAACCGACTCAGCTGCGCCATGACCAATGTTGAAGACCTTAATAAAATGTTAGGTAATTTAGCCTCTACTTTATATTTGGTTCGATGCAAACTGCGCAATAAAGGTTTTGCACCATAACGTGCAGGCACCCATAATACAGCTTGGGTTGCCTGTGGTTAGATGGCAGAACAATAAAATTCCTTTGCTCTTGCTCTTGTAAAGCAATAGACCCTTTTCGAGTTCCAAATTACCGCTGTGTTTCTTGATTATAGACTCATTTGCACAGGGTTAGCCTCGAGTTTGTGCAGAATTTTCACGTGTTCCAGTCAAGGTCCGTCGAGTTTCAAAATGTTTGTATTGTTGAAGTTGTGCATTCTTTACTTTTCTGTTGGTATTTGTGAATATTTAAACACTGATAATGCATCGATAGACAATTCGCACGCATACGCAGTCCAATATTTTGAAGTTATACGCATTCTCGTTCCCAGGCGGAACCGCGCTCTTTTTGGTATCTTCGAAGAAACGTAGACGCCGCCAAAATATTGATTTTGAGTATAGTATTGAGGCATTCGTTTCTTGACAGAGACCAAAAAGACAATTGCACTTACTGCTTGATGTTGAAGTAGCGGTTTTTGTCATCGGTGCCAGAGTTCCATCCCGCCACAGGCAAACGATATTTACGATACCAATAGTTAACCCACGATGACTGAGAGCTGTAAAGTAATTTAGCAGAAAGAATGGATATCAAATTTCAGAACGAATAAAAAATAGAGCAAGAACAATTATTTGAGTTTTTGAACGTCGAATTTCACGTGTCAAAATTAACGCAAATGAGCAAAACCTATCGTTGAAATTCATTTGCATTAAATTCGTCACGTGGGATTTGTGTTTTGACCCAGTTTTTTCCTCGACTCCTTGTTTTCTTATTAATTTGTATTTCCTCATGAGAATAGTAAGATAATAGGTGATAATAAACTGAAGAAAAGAAAATGCGCAAGGGAGTCGGTAGTGGTAGTAAATGACGTTATAATGACCTATTAACCATGATGAGTACCCAACTTACCTATCTACTGGTGCGGCCCACTGTATTCCTCCACTGGGATAATTAAACATGGTGAATGTATAGACTCCATCCGTAATGATGACCGTTTGGAAAGTATTGCTCTAATRATAATAAAGGGACAATATATAAATAAACAAAAAATAATTGATAATAAATGTTTTTACTAATATATAATTATCGATGAAATATGTATTTTTTTCTATTCCTAAAAAAAATTAACTTCACATATGAAGATAATATTATTGGTGGTAATCGAATGAAACAGTAAAAATCCACTCAAATTGTTTTTTTTCGATAATTATATATTAAACAATATTACATGGGCGCTTGGAGATACGGATTCTATCTTATCGTGTTGAGAATATCATACTTGCTGTGCTCACTCGTAAGATATCATCTCAACACTCGATAGAATGGTGTTTCGGATTCTAATTTGATCTTTGAGTTAGCTGTGATTTTGATCAGCCCAGAGGCTGTTTCAAAGTCTCGATAAAAAATATAAAGGAGACTTGAATTGTCCTATGCCAATGTGATACCCGAAGGGATACTTTAAATAAATAAAATTCAGAAGTAAGAACTTACCAATCCAAAGTACGGAAAGTTTCGTAAGCGTTCAGGATAAACATTGACCCACGTTACCACAGCGACAAAGCTAGCTCTAAAATCGTTGTACAAGCTGTTTTTGGTGTACTTTCTGACGTCATCAGAAGACTTGTTCAACATAGCTGCAGCATCGTTGGTGTAATTCCATCTGCTGTACAGTTGGTAATATACCTTGGACTGTCTCTTAGGATCAATACGCATGCTGTATCTCTTTCTGAATATCAAAGTACAATAAATTTGCATGAGTGTCGCCCGTCTAGATACTAGAACTGACATGGATCTGTAGCAAATCTTGCGGTGTCTCAAGGAAGGGGTCTATTAAAATGTAGAAGTTGTTTTTTCAATGTCCCGGATGAAACTAAGAACAAGCAGCTCAACTCACATACGACCTCCAATTTCGCTATTGATGTCAGGCCGCAATGGTAAGAAGGGAGCGAGGGAACTCATTCACTCGCGCTACCCAAGCTTCCCGTATGTTTGAAGTACTTACCCTGAATGAGCCAAACTTCTGTTTCCATTATTTATTATTTCATCAATAACAGTCCCCTCGAATTGAAACACTGTTGTTGAGTCAAAGAGTTGGTGTTCAACTAAAGACCAGTACGGTGCTATAGTTGGCAGAAAACGATCCCAGTAGCGGAGACCGAATTTGCGCGGCCAATAACGCGTGTAGTCTCTATTGAACTCTATCATGCCATTCCTGCAAATCTAAACCAGAAGTAAATAGTTGAATAAAGAGGTTAAAGCGTGGCCCTTTGTGATTGAACCACCTTGGAGTTCGCATCACAATGCATTGTAGGACTCTTAGGGGGACAAGTTTCCAAGATGGCGTCAATTGCGTCCCCTAAAGCAGTCCAATAATGCACTGCAATGCCAACTAACCCCAGAATGCAAAGGTATTCCCTTTTTCAATCCCAGATCAAATTGTTCTATATGACTAACCCAAAATGTTTCATATCTTTTTCCTAAGAATTCCAGTCCTAGTCCAGGCATGCCAAGCTCCAGACATCTATAGCTGTACGTCAAGTCCTCCTGCATCAACATATCGCCTGCACCCGTTCCGAATGGATACATGTTATTCATAAAGGAAGCGTCTGCGGAAATAAATAATAATTGGTAACCTGTGTCTCACTGACAGCTTTTACGTAAAGGTAACTAAGTTTACTAGAAAACCCGCGAGGGGCTAAGAAGGATGTTTCTTAAAGTAGGGGCTCTGGTTTTTCTGCATAACGGAACTCTAACTAAGACTATAATAATATGTCACTCTCCTAAAGAGGGAGCCCTCAGTCCCCGTCTTCGCCATCACAGCAATATATTTTTCAACGTCGTTTGACAATTCGTCTGAGGCAAAAAAAAACCATTGGCTTCTTGGAGGTTTTTAGATCTTGCAATGCCTATCTGCCACTTGTCCCTTTGTTTGCCCCATCTCCTTTGCCTCCAATACTACTCTTTCCAGTAGGATTTTCTTTTACCACGACACTAAACCTAACGAAACGGTTAAGGGATCTGTATAAAACTATTTCAAAAAAGCTACTACTCTTCCCAGTAGACCGAGGTAGTTGTGATTTTTAAATCGCCTTCGTAGCGTCTGTTATGTTATCCGCAAGTACTTTTTCAAATCGACCACGTGATGCCAATGTTGTACCACGAGGACAAGTTTTTTACACCACGTGATTAAAACTTGACTGAATTTTGATCACGTGGTGTAAAAAACTTGTCCTCGTGGTACGACATTGGCATCACGTTGTCGATTTGAAATGTACTTGCGGATAACAAAACAGACGCTACGAAGGCGATTAAAAAATCGCAACTACCTCGGTCTACTGGGAAGAGTAGTAGCTTTTTTGAAATAGTTTTATACAGATCCCTTAACCGTTTCGTTAGGTTTAGTGTCGTGGTAAAAGAAAATCCTTCTGTTAGTCATGTTTACCTACCTTGTTCGCATCGATCTCCTCTGTAACCAGGCAGACAGGCACAATTGTACTCCTCTGGGCGGTTGACATTTGGCTCACATTTTGCGTTGTTTTCGCAAGGATTGAAAAAGCAAGGATTGACTAGAAAAAGAGGGTGTGAAAAGTCTGAGTTATTTATACCGAGTAGAACGTACTTTTCAACGAGTTTTTATGGGGCATAAGAAACCCCACTCTATCTTCTTTTTGAAGTCCAGACCTATTTCTCTTTGTTTTCCCCGCATTTTAGATCATTTGACATTCTCTTGAGCATTTTTTCTTTGTTGAACTTTAAAACTTCAGAACTTAAGTTAATATAGACGTAAATCAAACAAAAAACTTTTTTCAGTTATTCCCATAGAAACTAAATGGGGTTCGAAAAGAAAATAAAAAACAAAAATGAGTAAGTCATCTTTCACATTGTTTTTTTTTCAGGGCTATTTCTAGAAAAAATGTCATAGTACGATGCTATGGTTACATATAAAATACAAAGCAGAAAGATTCTTCGATACAAATTCTTTAAGCACAGGAAAAAAACAAAAAGCAACTAACAAGCAACCGCCTATACGATGATGGGTCCATGAAAATAAGTGTGTTCCCCATTTCGAAATACATAGATTGCGCTTGTTTTAAGGTGGCTGGACCCCCTCACGCTTGACCGCTACCTTCCACGTTTGGAACGCTGGCGCATAAACGTGTTTTATCCGATTGCAAATCTTTTTTGCACATAAGTCACATAAAGATTGAATTAGTGTTTGATGCAGTTTTTAATGAAATCGGACTTCATAACACATGATTATGATGAAATATTTGTTTTCGTTTAGAAAGCAATTTTAGCCTTGCAGAGCGTTCAACACTAAAATGCTTCGTACCACATAATTGTATACTAGATGCCTCCATTTGTGGGGATTTTTGAAAAAATCTATCTAGCTGATTATGAGATTTTTAAGATTATTTAAATATAGAACTCCCGAAGTTTGGTTCTTTATTAAACTCAAAAGTCTGGCTCGCTTCCTTCTTGAAGTTTTTATTTGAGGCATGTTCGCCGATTCTATTCACTCACACTGACAAAGTACATCATGACAAACGTCCCACGTTTGAATAA